AGCTTTCAAATATCCGCAACATGTACAATGATCAATGAAATACTATGTGATTGTAGTGGTCCATCGCAGCCACAGCGAATATTCTCTGATTCTAAATCTAAAAGACAGTAATTATCATGATCATGAGCGTTTGCGTAAAAGTAACGCGGTTACATGATTATGACAATCGCAAACCTCTACAGAAAGATCATGAGCGGCGGAAGTTCTCTAAGTGTCCGTCAATTTCTTTTATACGGTTAATCGAATTACCGATCATCATTCATCATTTAATGTCGCCTTTGCATGCAAAAAAGAAACGCTATTGTTCGACGGAAATGATAGATCTAGTGAGCATTACACACTTTTGGACCATATGCCTCTATGATTTGTGCACGACTCCAAAAATTAGAACCTGACAACGAGTTCAGGCCGCTTCATCAAACTTAGCTTGACTTTCGCGATTCCATCGACTTCTTTGTATTTTTCTTTTTTCAATATATCCCATATCGTGTTGTACAATCTGATGCCATCTTACGCTTTGTTGAATGTGAACAACAAACAGTCTTCGCCTGCACCATTACAGTTAGTGCGTCTTCAAATTAGTTGATATCATGTATGATCACATGTAATTGCGGCTAAATACAATTTTCTACGTTTACATCTCATCACCTCTTCAGATATTACGCCTGTTTACTGCATCATTTCTGCTGTTTTCCTTTACTATGTGCTGTTTGACCGATTGAGCGACCTAATCATAAAATCAACCCTGGCAAACATTATTGTAAGGCTTTCTAGCGCAATACCGATAATCTAAGTGCAGTTATGACCGAGTCAGAAGTTTCGTGAATGTTCCAAAAGTTCTTCCTTACCCTTGTCGGTTAACGTTTTCTCTTTGGAAAAGCCACCTCAAAACTGCCTATGCTGTAGCGCTGCGAACAGGCTCAGACTCTTGCGACAATAAGTATCTTGAATTTGAAAGGAAACACATTAATTTTTTTGCATTTCGCACTTCCGCCGCACGGTCGAAAGTTTCTTGCAAAGCTTCTTCATCGTTTGTCCTTGAAATGCATCCGCAATGATTCTTTCTACACCTTTCAAAGTACTTGTACTTTGCGTAAAGATGTATCCGCGCCTAAACAAATTGGCCTATTGCCATTAAAACAACTTCCGTATCGAATTAGTGGAAACAGCGTTGAGCGGAGCCATTATAGTCACCAATTTGCACAAATCATCGAGCAGGTTTGGTTACCCGATTTCCTCCGATTAAATATGATGAGCGATTTTGCTGTGTGAGAGTTGATCTTACACGTTGATCGCATTTGACATACATGCTAAAAAGACGACATAAATGAGACGACGGAAATCAATGATTGATCACGGAGCACAGCTTACTAAGGCCCATATGCACGAAAGTCCGGCGGGGAGCGGAGGTGATCTGAGAGAGGAAGCGTCATATCTCGCTATCCTGTATATCTTTCTTCTTCTTTCTCTATCTCGCTTATAAAATTTATCATACACTGACACCTGCGCATAAAGGATGCCAGGTTACTGCCATACAAGATTAATTTCTCCCTATATTGTTTGATCCCCAGGGGATCACTAGGGGACCACTCTCATCAAAATCTTCCTGGAAACTCAATGAAAACGCTGCAAAATTGTACTGAAGATATACTACGACACTGTTGAGCATGTTTTCGACAGACGAAATGGAATCTGAAGAATGTGATTTTTTCGATAATTCCTAGCTCGCGAGCAGCGGTTTATCGAAGATTTCGATATCTTGAAATTTCACTCATTTCTAGCGTAAACATGCTTAGCAGTGCCGTAGTATATCCTTAGTACAATTTTGCAACATTTTCATTTTTCAGAAAGATAAATGGCATTGAAAATGAGAGGTGATCCCCCGAGGATCCCCAGGGGGTCAGACGAAATCGAATGTTTAATTTTGTATGGCAGTAACCTGGCATCCTTTATGCGCAGGCATCAGTGTATGAGAACCTTCAAAAGAAGAAGAAAGATACCTAGACTAGCGATATATGACGTTTGCCCTCTCATTGTCAGATCCCCTCCCCAACGCGCGGGATGTACGTGCATACGGGTCTAAAACGAGCTGATCCGCTTTGTAGTAAATACATACGGTGACCGCCAAAAAGTTGCGGACAAGTCGCCCTCCTGTTTACAGCGCTCATTTTCGGATGGAAAACAAAGATGAAAAAGAAAATTGGATTGCATATGGTGATAAAGCTCACCAAGAGCTACAACCCACACATTGCGCTTTCTGGAAAACATGTATCATAAGAGTTTCAAAAATCTTTTTCAAAAAGTCCGAAAATGATCGCGTCACAATGTCGCGGACAATAATTCTTCGAAAGCGATAAACTTCTTTTAGGTCTTTCCTGGGGCAAAAACAGAAGTTTTTCGGACGGACAGGTAAGCATACTATATTGTAGAACTCATTGAGGACATTAAGAGTACTGGTTCCAAAAAAACCTAAGATTGAGTTTAATTTTGCTTTTTTTCAAAAAAATAACTTCTAGATCCCGTTTTCAAACCAAATTTCTTCACATGGTAACCTATTCAAGACATTCTAACAAAGCCATTTGGATAAAACGGATGCTCTTTGCCATTCTCTACGCATCGGACGTGTGCTGGTGAGTTTCTTGGCTGAAAATGGCTCTTGACAGTGCGTGCACATGATTCCACCTGCACCACACCACTGACTTGCACCGCTTCACAGGCTTATAGCTCGACCGCCAATCAATCTACGAGCCTGTGCATAGGCTCATTCAAAATACGTGACTTTCTCTACATGATCGTTTGCAAGTCAGTTGAGTTTGGGAAGTCTCGGAAATCCTGCGGATAGGATGACAAAGCGCAGCTTCAGTGGTAGGCTAAGAATTTATCAGGTAAAGGTTGCGCAAAGCTCCTTTCGCCACCAGTTCCACCCTGGAAGTTCATAACTGTCAATTTTCTTGTAATAGATCCATATCGGAGCTCTAAGACTGTTCCAGTGTTGATACGAGCCTCCACTCCAAAAACCTCTATGGCTGCGCTTTGTCACCCCATCCGCAGAATTTCCGAGACTTCCCAAACTTAACTGATCTGCATACCATCATGTCGAGGAAGTCACGCTCTTTCGAATGAGCCTAAGCGAAGGCTCGTAGATTGATTGGCGGCCGAGCTATAAGCCTGTGAAGCGGTGCAAGTCAGTGGTGTGGTGCAGGTGGGGTCATGTGCACGCACTGTCAAGAGCCATTTTCAGCCAAGAAACTCACCAGCACACGTCCGATGAGTGGAGAATGGCGAAGAGCATCCGTTTTATCCGAATAGTCTTGTTAGAATGTCTTGAATAGGTTACCATGTGAAGAAATTTGGTTTGAAAACGGGATTCAGAAGTTATTTTTTAAAAAAGCAAAATAAAATTCGAGCTTGAGTTTTTTGGAAGCAACCACTACTCGGTTATTGTCGTCAATGAGCTCTACAGTATAGTATGCTTACCTGCCGGAAAACTTCTGTTTTTGCCCCAGAAAAAAAATTTTTCGCGTCAGGAGAATTAGCGTGCGCGACATTGTGACGCGGTCATTTTCGGACTTTTTTTAGAAAAAGATATTTAAAATTTTTATAATACATGTTTTCCAGAAAGTGCAATGTGCGGGATGCTCTTGATGAGCTATATCACCATTTGCAATCCAATCGTTATTTCATCTTTGTTTTCCATCCGAAAATGAGCGCTGAAAACAGGAGGGCGACTTGTCCGCAACTTTTTGGCGGTCACTAGGTTTAAGATATCAAATGTATTTTTTTTGTGGAACAAAAGCAGAACTTACTTCATGGATCAATTAGCAAAGATTTTTCCGACATACGCTGAATTTTCATTTTCATTTTTGACACACGATACAAACAAAGGAACTTTTGGTACGTTTAATATAAGAGGGGGGAAGATAATGAGATATTTGGACTATGCAACTGTAACACTAAAATAGATTTGGGCTGATTTACTCGAACGAAGACACTGTGGGAAGTACCGTTCTATCGTGTCATACAAAAATGGCGTTATGATGAAAACATTATAAATTACGCAGTCGGACAACATTGAAGTTGTGAGCGGTTAACATATCAGCCAGCGCAAACAATGAGTATATTACTTTAGAGCTCTTGGAGAGCTCTTGGCTCCAGACCTCGTTTTTCGTTGGATAAATGATTAGGCAAGAACGGTGTGTATTGAAAGCAAGTGTATGCGGTTGGAAAACAGGAATTGCAGCACATTTCTCCTACTCCGTTTACGGGTAACGGTACACAATACTTGAACTTACTTTGGCTTACTTGAATCGTACCCATTTCACTCTTTACTGGAGCCTTGCAACGATTGCAGCTTGCTACATTTGCTAATCTCAGATAATCTTTCACAGATTCTTACTCTTGCATCATGCTATTACGTCAATTAAGAAGGATTTTTTAGTTTGATCGATTATCAAACATTGAAATGCAACAGAAAAAAAAACTTGAACGGCATAAGCAGAAACAAACTTTGAATTTATAGCGGGACTTGCTCTATCAAGCATTCTGTCAGAACCGGTATCAGGACTTTCTGCTGAAGGCTTCCAACACACTTGCCGCCTCTTCGCTTACTTTGCTGAATTTCTGCATCTAACAATATAAAATGCTAACGCGATCGGGTGCTTGGGTAGAGGACATTATTCGCCAAAAGGGGGGGGGGGGCACGGACACGACACTTGCAACAAATATGCTGCACCTTTACACGAAAACCTCGTGACATTACCACTACCCGGTGGATTCCGAGTCGCAGGACCGTATCGCACAGTTTCCGTGTAGAACGACGCTCGCACAAGATACGCCTGCGGCGGCCCTCGTCTATGCAAATAGAGCGGAGAGCGAAGAATTGCCGCCTGCGCTCCATGTTAGTACCGTCATACTGTGGCGCACAACGGCCGCTTCCCTCGAGATCGCAAAAATGAGGATTGTGCCGAAGAAAATTCCCTCAATCACCATTGCCTTTCATCCTCATTAACCGTTTCAGTCCTACCGATGCGAACAAGCAGATGGAGCTGCTCAAGAATGGAAGAGTCAACGCGTCGAGAGTGCCTACCACAACCGCACAGACCACACAAGAGTGCTACAACGATCATGCGTTTATGATTTTCATGTATACGGTAAGTTTGCAGCATGCAGGTAGCAAGATGAGAGTGAATTGAGTGAAAAGAAAAGCAGATCCAGCCTATGCTTGACTGTGATTCACAGAGAGAAACATACAGCTAGGTTTCTTTGTGTTGATGATTTAGCCAGTGCGAACTTTGCTCGTAAATCTAGAATAGTGATCATGCACGTCCGAGTAGTTTTCCTCATATTGGAACAGCTTCGACTAGCTAAAAAGCTCTTCATAAAATGCACCTGTTTTTAAGTGTTACGTTCGCTACTGAAAAGGTGTTTGCAAATGCACCTCTCATCTGATCTCCGTACTGTAATAGAAATTGCCGCGATGTTTTTTTTTTTTGGTTGGAATTATTTAAATCTTGAAATTTTCAACGGCTGAGAGGACACTTATTCTTACTTCTTATCTACTAGAATGAGCAAGAGAAAAAGTAGATTAGTGGTAAAAGATCTCGAAGCACCCCTTCGCCCTCCTACGGTGTGCCCTATAATATCGGGATTTTGTTAAGACATCTAAAACGTAAAAACGCTATTGAACTTTTAAAGCTTCACCTTAGCAAACAGCTTTAGAACCATGGGAGGAATCGGCTTCCAATCAGTGAGAGGCTTTTGTCTTTCTTTACCCGGTTATCATAAACATTTCAGACAGATGATCTGCTTTTGGCAGCTAGTATGGCAGCCACTGTATTCAATGTGATGGTCATATTTTGCGCTGTCAAACTTTTTAAGAGAAGTGGAGACACTATGCATCTTTTCATTCTGAATATGACCGTAGGAGACCTTATTTTAACTGGTAGGTCCGTCTATACATGCTATTTTTACACATGCCTTTCCAATAAAAATGCTGGTTAAAGACTTGCTAATGGTTAGAGTCACTAAAACTTCACCCTAGAAAAAGTGGATCCCATTGAAAGGTCGGATTCACGAAATTGGAGGATTTAATTTTTGGTTATCACAAATCACTGTTTTTAACATGCAGATGAACTAAAGGACACTTACAGGGCTCCTAAATTGCAGAGTCGTTTGCACCAGCGGTCGCGCGACCGCGTCGCGCCCGGGCATCAATGGCGCCGCCTCGATCGATGGCGCCGGCGCCGGCAAAATGCCTGGGCGCGACGCGGTCGCTCGACCGTTGGTGCAAACGACTCTGCAATTTAGGAGCCCTGTATGGAAATCACTCTTAACGTCAAAACACATCCATGCATACTTCTGCTTCCCTCAAATTCCCTATGTCTACCATCAGATAAGGTTTTTTCTGCGAACACTCTGCGAAAACTCTGAAACAAGGTATCTTTGGGTAGAATTTTGAGCAGGAAGCATCTCCTGATGAGACTCATCAGAGGGGCATGCATTCGCGACGATATTTTCTTGAATTTATAAGACCACATTACATGTCCCCGTCGATAATAGCAACTGTGCTGTGCGTTTGTAAAAATCAAAATGATACAAGTTTTCGTGTGGTATCTGTCGCGAGTAAATGAATCTGAGGCTGACGAGGAAATAGTCAGAAGTTGACCCAGCCATTCCAACCAATCTGTAAATCATCAGACTCGTCTCAAAATGCTGATCTCAAATATATGTTTTTTATCTGCCTAGCGACTATATGGGAGGAGTTATGAGCGTTCAAATATGGGAAATTCTTCGAGTTTCAATAAATATATTTCCTTGAAAGGCAGCATGATGGCGAGGATTTACAGTTGCTATGGTTAGTTCAATTATAAGGAAGAAGCACATTTACCAAAAACCTAGGCAAGTGTCTTTGAAACCTATATCGTGGAACATGTGCCACAGAACGCTTGACAAATCGCACATTTCAACGCTCATAACTCCTCCCAGATAGGCATTTGGCAGATAATAAACGCATATTTGTGATCAGCGTTTCAAGACGAGTGCGATGATATACAGCATGTTTGGTATGGCTGGGTTAAGTTCTGACCATTCCCTGCTGAGCATTTTGTAGACTTATTGTGTTATTTAGTATTTTGCCATCCAAATGAACTGCTTATTCGTAAGCACGACTTCCTTCAACAAATCCATCTTTGCGCGGTCGTTCACTATTTTAATTGGACAGGGCTGGCTGTTTCCGGGTTATCTCTGACCATGCTCAACGTTGACAAGGTAAGGTATGCTTTAAAAATTGAGTTTTCAACAAGTAACTTTACAGCTAATATATTTTCGATGGCCGCTCAACTATGATCGATCAATGTCTAAACGAAGAGCCGCTTTATTCTGCCTTCTTATTTGGCTGCTCTCTGTTGGGTAAGGCTCAACTTTGCTTTTGTGATTGATACACGAAGGCCCATTGCCCTCAGATCAATTTATAGGGTGTCCTAAAAGTAAGTACACGCTTCTTGATCGTTGAGAAATAATGATCGTTAATATTGATAACTCTATTCCCACAAAGTTTTTAGCTCAGCATCAAAAACCATTCAGTAAAGCAGGCTTCAATTTAGATCTATAATATAGAGCGGACTCATGGCTTTTATTACAGAGGGACTACGGTAGGAACTTCCAGCATACAGGGCTCGGCACGAGCTGGCACCAGAAAAATTATCAAACGAAGTTCCCTTTGCTTTCGAAAATTTAGTACAAATTACCTTTTGACCCTCTTTCGCTCCCTCATTTCTGTGCAGTTGGCTTTTTGCCCTTCACTCTGGTGGGAGTGTGGCCCAACTCAGAATAAAGCGCAAAAAGCCAAAAGACAAAAAAACGAAATACTCTCCCTTCCTACCCCTCCACCTCGCCCTCCCTACCCTCTGCGGATGAGACAAACAATTCAGTAGAAAATAACAAAAAGAAGAGAGAAAAACAAAGATAAAGGTAAAGGACAAAGGGCGTCCAGTGAAAATGGAGGATTCGCGTCGGTCTACTTAGGGGCGCGCTTTGCGATTGAAGCAGAGCGTCAATGACGATCTTCTGAGGACTGTAAAAAAGCCTGGAGAAGATATTGTGAAAACGTTTTCACTCTGTGTAATAACATTCACAATGAAGATACAATTTATGTAAGAAAATATGAAAACTTATGTGAGCAAAGGGTCGGTGCCAGCTCAGCTGGCATGGTGCCACCTACAGGGCTTATCAAGTGAAGTGTCGCTTACCCCAGCATCTCCACTTTCGCGCTGGACTTTGCATCTCTTCCGCGGAACATGCTCTATGAGTACTTTCGCAGGGCGAGCGTGGGAAAGTCGGAGCCTCAATTGATTGGTAGTGATTAAAGAGCATGTTCCGCGGAAGAGACGCAGAGTCCAGCGCGAGAGTGGAGATGCTGAGGCAAACGACACTTCATTTGATAAGCCCTGCAATTCAGTGGCCGTAATCATCAACGAACCCTGAGGGTTAAGCTTACCCTCCAGGGTTAGTTTAACCCTCAGGGTTCATTGGCCGTATTTATCAACCATAGGCTAGGGTTTACCACGGAACGCGATCCACCCGTATCGATCAACGAACCTGTGGCCGTATTCATCAACCCTGAGGGTTAAACTAACCCTGGAGGGTTAAGGCGTCAGTTACGCGTGCGCTGTGCAAACTCACATCACAGAATGCCTAAGTACGGGCTAAATTCACTTTATACTTCTATTCTTTCACTGTTATAGTAGTATAGTCAACGAATAAGCTTCTAACACTAGTTTTTATAATACATCTCTAGCATACTTGTGCAGCATCCAATCTTGCAGCGTGAGTTTATTTTTATGTGTGCAATTGTGCAGTGTAAGTTCTACTTTTGCGCAGTTCGTTTTATACCGGGCTTGTGCTACTCTTTTAGGAGTCAATGCGTGTTATCGTAAAGGGGTTCTCCAGTTTTGGCACTTGTCAGAGTAAAATGCGCAACCATTTTTCCTTATCGCATTCATTTGTCACTAAAGCTAGAATTCTTTTTCTCGCGAAGTCAGTGTTTCATGTACTTCGAATATGAACATAAAACGAAGTCGAAACAAAATACTATAGCATAGCTAAATACTACAATACTCGTTGATCGTTTTCCATAAACAATTGGATGCGAGTAAATGTTTGTATGAAGTGTTAGCCTGTTAGGTAGAGTTAACCTTGATCTGAGCTAGGGTTAAATTAACCCTGATGAATCACGTAAGTTTAACCCTCCAGGGTTAGTTTAACCCTCACGGTCCGTTGATGAATACGGGTTAGTCGCTTTCGGGGTAAAATTAACCCTCAAGGTTAGATTTAACCCTCAGGATTAAGCCTACCCTGTGTTTCATGAATACGGGTTAAACGCTTTCCAGGGTTAAACTAACCCTCCAGGGTTAGTTTAACCCTCGGGGTTCGTTGATGAATACGGCCACAGAAAAATGTTCAGCAGAGCTTTCATTCACATAAGATCCCATAAGCTTTTGGGCCATAATTCGGGTCCACCAATGCGCATGCACACAAAATTTGGTGTCATATAATTGCGTTTTGTTTGTAAACAAAGCTTTTGTTTGTGTCGGGCAGAATTCAAGTTCCCGCGCCGTGTTGAAACCGGCATGTCGGCGCACAGCGGTAGCATGTCTTTGGCATGCGAGTGGCATGCTGGCATTGCTAACAAATAGAGATATAGGAATAAGCATGCCGGCTGCTTGCCGATGTCGTGCCGGCGGCGTGTCCCTGGCATTTTAGCAAACAGGGGCATGCTAGCCCGTAGAAACGATATCCCCTCTGCTTTCCGCGCCCGAAAACGATATCCAACTTGACCCGATGCCAGCTCTGCCGAGCCCTGCCAGCATACGACGCCATTGTGAAATAGGCCATTTGAGAAAAAACTTCCAAAAATCTAGAGGGTTATGCACAGTGATTTCGGACATGCTGATTTCACTGAACAACTTTAAACGGATTTTTAAAATGGCTAAACCACGTTGCTAAAGAAACAACGAAGATGTTGCGCTTTACTCGGCATAACTTATGGAAAAAGCCTGTAGTAAAGTGCGAGCCTCATAGTTATATTCAGCGACTCAGTTTGGCCCAATGATAAAGTTTTCGGCTCGTTGAGTATCTTTTCTGGGGCGTGTAGCCATTGATGGCTTACAAGGGAGGTCCGACTAATCAAAGTGGCTTTTCTAAACGAGTCTTATACCACTTTGGACAGCATCAACGCTGATTTCAAATCTGTTCTCATCAACTGCCGAGCGCCTTTGCTCAGATAATCGCCGGGGGCAGGCGGTCCGCAAACTCGCGCTTTTCTGCAGGCGGTCAGCAGAATTTTGGGGCGTGGCCAAATCTTCAGCGGGCGGCACTTCTTTTACGGTCGCATATTCTGCCAACGGGAGCAATACAGCATTTTCTGCAAGCGCTCGGCAAATAATTTCTTTCAGCGAACGCTGACCAAACTTTCAGCAAGCGCTCGGACTTTTTTGAAGCAGTTTCGGGCATACGCCGAGCACAGGTAAGACTCTGTATGGCAGAGGTGTCACCGTTGGTTTAATTACTCAAGTTTGAGGTACTTTCTTTCACCGGAAAGTACCTGAGGGCTGCGCGGTCCTCCACAAAGGACCGTGCGGCCCTCGAAATTTTTGCATATTCTCGCGGAATGTCCGCGAGAATGCGGCCACTGCGCCGCAGCTAATCTATAAGGAAACCGCGACTGTTCTCCACGCATTCGTCTAAAATTTCGCTAAAATTATTCCAAATTTCTGCAAGCGGACCGCAAGAAATCAGCGAACTATTTTGCGCGCTTGCTCAAAATTCGCATGGCCGCCTGCCCCCGGCGGTTATCTGAGTGCATGTCGAGTTATGTATGTTTTCTTGGTGCGAGAAAATGAACCCATAATTTAGGTAAAATCAAATTTCACGGTCTTTTTAGCTCTCAAATAGAGCAGTGTCAAGTATGAATGTTTTGAGTAGAAGATTTTTTTTGAATGAGGTGCTATGATAATCAATATTGGACCATTTGAGCGAATCTGACGAATTTTGTGCTAATTATGCATTCAATTTTTCAACTCAAAAAAATACTCATAATTCGAGGTCCAGAGGCGCTCAGCAGATAAGGAAGATAGATTTGGAATCAGCGTTTGATGCTCTTTGTAGTCGTATCAATCACATGTGAAAAGGCCACTTCGACCAAACGGACCTTCCTTGTTAGAACCCCTTTTCAAGGTTCTACCGTAATCATATATAAGCGAAGAGCGGAGAGAGGTGGCGTAGGAGGAATCAAAGGTCCTCTTGTAACCGCAGGAGATGATTAAGAGCGCGAGCGATGTGGGAAGGATTTGGCATGGATTCAGGGAAACTTGGCAAGGATGTCATGTGGAAACAAACTGCCATGACTCTGCTTATCGTTAGAGGCTCTTCAAACATGAGGGAAACGGTTCGGAACTGGAATTGGAAAATGCATACTGATGGAAGTAAATCAAAATTCAGAGTCACACTGATAGAAAAATAAAAGTTTCTCGAAAAAAATATAGTACTCAGTCGCGTCATTGAATTTCGAAGTTTCAATTTTCCCAGAAATAAGGTGTCTTTTTCCAAAGTTTATTATATTCAGTATGCTGGGAGCAATTCAAGTCAAACGCAATTTTGAATACTTAACTTCAAAATTCTAATCTCAAATTTTAAGACTTCATAAGATTTTATACGCTTAGACAATGAAACCCGTCGGTGACACTTTCGAGAATGTACAGAAATCTAAGCAATCTGTTTACGGTTTAGCTTGAGTTAAAATTTTTATCACTTAATAACACCATTTTTTATTTTTCGTACACATTTCCTAAAAATCGCTAAAAAAATAAACTCGTGATATTTCAAGCATCAACACTTGCCATTTCTCATTCTTTGATGTTGACAGTCTGAAGACTACAGTTTTTTTTGTAGTATTTCTTATAAACATAGAGCAGTGGCGTACCCACGATTTCCGTTCAGAAAGGGGAGGGGCGACAAAAACTTTTTGGGATGCTTCCCAAATTTTTTCGGCCCCCTGACCCCGAAATTTCAGAAAAAGAGGGCGTGGCGACGTGGCGCAAAAAAATATTTTTTGCAAGGCTAATTCGAATTTCTAAAGATTTGCCAAATAATTTTAATTATTTACAAGTAAAAACAAGTCACTTGCACATTTTTATAACACATCTAAGTAACTTTCAAAATTTTTGCGACCCATTTTCGAAGGGTGGTAGGGGGGGGGGAGGGACACCCCCGCCCCTCGGTACGCCACTGACATAGGGCTATAGCGAAGTAGGTACTTATCATCCGGACCCATTTTTGCAAAGAAGGAGCTTCTTTCCCTGCACCATAATTGTTTCCAACTTTATAGGAAAGAGTGTCAACCTTCTGCCACGTGTCAAAAAAATTTGACATGCCACCTACATGTTTAATAAGTTTTACCAAGAGTTCGCGTTGCCCTACCTAGCGACATATGTTCAACCTTTTTTGGTCAATAATGACCCTATTTTCGATTAAACAATTTCAAAAATGACATTGTTATAATACTAACGTCGCCCTCTTATCAATGAACATACTAGACGTGCCCAGAATAGAGAAGTGCGCTAGGGTTCCATCACCTAAGCGGCGAAAAGCAGCAGCGAGATACTACTTCAAGCGATCATTTATAGACTTTTCTGGCTAAACACGCATGGCGGGAAGTTTGAAGAGAAATACATTCTTGAATCATTGCTAGAAGCAATCAAGATATTCTAGTAATGGTTCTAGATTCTTTTGCCCTTATGTAAATCAGCTGGAGAGCTTCTAAGGTTACAAATGCTCTTTTATCTCACCGGAAATGATTTCGAAAAGAACGTGTCAAAGTGGACTAGAACGTGTGAATTTTTTCCTGACACGTGGCAGGGAGGCAGTCCTCGTAGAATCTATGAAAATTTGTACTTGAACTACCGAACGTATTTTATAAGAGCTTTTTGAAAAAATGGGTCCGGATAACGGAAAAGTACCGCGAAGTATAGCTGTTTACCCATCCGATAGGGTATTGTAGAAAATGCGCCTTTCAGTGCTGATTCCAAATCTGTCTTTCATATCCTTCCAAGCAGAATTATTAAGACTGTTCTTGACGGTTATCCTTGCCAAGTTTTTCCGGATCCTTGTCAGCATCTTGTCCACTGTGCTGGCGCTCTTGGTTATCCCCTACGATCACAGCCGACAGGCCTTTTTTTCCTTCTGTACCGCATCCAGAGCGGAGAATGGTTCGATGCGTACTGTATCTAATTTAGAGCCTGCTCTACTAAATGGTACTCGAAGCTTAGCAAAAGACTTCGTGGGAAAAGAGCTATTGACGACTAAAAAGTGTATACTTACTTTTGGGACACCCTGTATAAGCACATGAGCAAGAAGATCGCAGAAGCGGAAGCACGACCATCTCTATATTCAAAATATGCAAGTCCCTTGCTACTCGCTTGATTATTGAACCAATGTGACTTCCCACTATTCTCTCGCAATACTTGCCGCTATACACTCACTCGCGCCTTTCTCGTGGTTTGCAAAGCCTACCTTGTGCTCATGTACTGTGCTTCTGTACCAACGAGTCAAAGGCAACGAACGAGCTGTTTGGTGAAAAGCTTCTGTCATTCCGCACTCCATCTTCCAACATTAGCGCCACGTCCGCGGGCTTGGGCATCTAAGTTGGCTTCTTCGATGACTATAATTTCTATCACCCCACATCTACAAATCAAAACTCTTTGATAGAATAAGGTTCTTATATTTAGATTCATTTCGTATTGCTGGCTTTTCAACATTGTCTATATTCACACTTTCGACTGCTCTTTGCAGGTAGGCGTTTACCTATATTTTCTTCACTCATAAGCGTCGAAGCATACAGGGACGCCAAAAAGTTGCGAACAAGCCGCCCACCCTTTTTCATCGCTCATTTCCAAATGATAAACAAAGATAAAAATGTGATCTAATGCCATAATATGATAGAGCTCCTTGAAAAGCTGCAGTCCTCACATTACGCTGTCTGGAAAACATTAATTTGAAAAGAAATTTTCAAAAAAAAAATCCCTCCCTGGCCATGTCACAATAACGCGGACAACAACAAATCTTCAAAGACAGAAAGTTTCTTCTAGATTCTTTTTTATGTGAAAACATAAGTAATCCGAATAGGTGAAAACATAATAATCTATAGAGCTTATTAAGTACTATATTTGATTCTAGTTACTTCCTCAAAAACACAAGCTCGTTTTATTTTGCATTTTTTGGAAATTAATTTTTAATCCCTTGGTTTCCCTGAATTTCCTTTGAATCCTTGAAAATGGTTACGAAATGAGCTCTCGTTGCTCTTACCTGGAAAATCTCAAGCCTACTACTGAACTTTTCAACCCTTCCCCAAAATCTCCAAAAACTTTTTAGACTTCGCAGTTGAACATCTTCGCGTCAATGAAATCTCGTTCTTTCGAATGAGCCTAGCTGGCCGAGTTGATTCTCATTTGAAAAAATCTGGCCTGCAATAGAGAATTAGAAGTGAAAAAATGCAAAATATAATTAGAGCTCGTGTTTTTGGGAGGCATACAAAACAGAATGTAGCACCTGACGAGCTCTATATGATATTAGGTTATCGGATAATTTCTATTACTCTTTTTGTTTTAATTCCCAAAAATCTCAAAAGCTTTGGAAAGACCTCATGTTCACGGCGTATGGGCAGGGTCAAAAGGCCTATTCAAGGGTACCGTCGTATCGGCGATCTGTGCGCAAAACATCCACTTTGTGGCTAAAAATCCGTTTCTTCCCATTTTTGTAAATGAGCTGGCGTTCTCTCAGGTGATGCGCGATAGACCGGGCAATGTGGTAATCAGGTAGGGCATAGTCTGTAGCTTAGCTAATATGGAGGGATAATGCAGACATGTCTGCACACATTTTTCTGAGCGGTTCAAATCTCAGTGTGCGCCATGTTTGCAATCATTGGAATTTTTATGAATAAAACGTCTCCAAAAAATTTCGAAAAATCATTTTTATGTTTTCTATATTCATTTCTATACGATGCACATAAAAAAGAAAAATTTAGGAAAGTTTTTGAATTTTTTTGATATTTTTTTTACCCCTAGTTTTTGAAACGCTAGAGGCACCGGAATGCCTCCGTGTAAAAGACAATGCAAAAACACGTTCTAAAAAAATTCTGGAAGAGGAAAAGCGCAAGAAAGAAAAAGTCAGACAAAAAACTGAAAGTTTGACTGCTTTTATAAAACTGCCGCAAACTTGTTGGTCTTGTGGCATCAATCATGCTGGTGGGTAGACCCTGCTATGTCCTAAGCGTGTTGCAACTTTGGGTTTTTCAGAAAGCTTCTGGAATTTCCTGGAAATCTTAGAAATGTAACAGAAATTATCCGACAACCTAATAGTACATATGTTGGTTTCACTTGAAGAAAAAACTTTTAAAAAACTCGCGTTCGAAGAATAATTGTCCGCGGCATCATGACATGGCCACGGACGGGTTTTTCTTTTCAGAAAGACCTTTGATTTGTTAGAATATGTTTTCCAATAAGCTGTAGATCGCAGCTTTTGAACAGCTCTATCATATGACGCCATTGGATGATTTTCTCACCCATGTTCATCGTCTGGAAATGAGCGATGAAAAAAGGAGGGGGCTTGACCGTAGTTTGGAGTTCACTGTATGTTGAATTCTCAAGAGGTAACTCATTACAGATGTCTCCGAACAAGAAGTTTTACTATGAAATATTCCTCATCTTGTTCTGCGTTTTGCCCGTGACCTCCTCCTTGATAGTTTCCATTTATCTGTTCAATCTAACACGCCAGAAAAGAAACGCGGGAAGCGGAGGGGATACTTCCGCCTTCAAGAATAAAGTATGATGATTTTGATCCTTACTTCGTTGGAGAATGCAAAAGCAATTAAGGTGAAATCGCTTGTATTTATATTTGCCACCACTGCGTGGACATCATGCAGTTTGTTGCCATATCGGATCATGAATCTCGCAAGAATCCACCTTTTCACGTATGTTTGTTCTTTTTTTTTTCTTTGAAAGAAACACATCAAAGTAGTTAACGGACTGCCTGAGCGTACTTCTGCGTCAGTTATGCATATATCAGTTTTCTTTGAAAAATGTTTCTTTCAAGCCCGAAAGTTGTCTTTACAGATGGTCAGAGCTCTCCTGCGAAGGTAAGCAGATGATGAACTGGGTTGCATGGATCCTGATATATCTTCTCACTGTAAATCCAGTGAGTCTCTTCTTCCAGCTTTACAAGGTGTAAAACATGCAACCAAGTCTAGATTATCAATCCGCTTATAACTTCACTCATCTATGCACCCTATCGTATAACGATCAAGAAATTCCTCGTCAACATTCCTGTTGGAAACCGACCGTTCTACAACTATCAAGGAGAGCATCTGCATTTGGATAGCAGGTTAGTTTCCACCCATCAAATAGCGCAATCAGATTGCTTACATATCGGGCAGGACTGGGGATGAAGAAAGAAAAATAAGTGGTACAGAGACGTAAGAAGAAGAATTCCTCAATGCTTTGGTTTGAGAGGTCGTCAAAGGGACTTTTTCATTCAGGAAAGCTTTACGTCTCATAAATCAAATACCATTCAAAAGCTAGAAACTTGCGAAATTGACGTAGACCGTCTATTTTTTTCAGCTCTCCTACGGAAAATCTTATCTAGCTGCAATATCAGCAGATTCTATGCGATCAGTTTGCGCTCCATCTCTGAAGGGAAGGGGAAAGCTAGAAGAAAAGAGACGGTCTGCATTTACTGGCCAAGTCTTGGTTTTTTTGGGGCCAAGCTTACAAATCTTCGTTTTGTAAGCTTTCTAATGGTGTGTAGGTCTTCAAAAAGAGAGTGGAGATAGTCAATATCAACGTGCTCCACTCGCCCCCTCAATGCCCTTCATAGGTCGCCGGGGAGACTTTTTTGGAGCGGGTAACCCGTTCGATATCCTGTTGGCTTTCTCCCCAATAACGATATCTAGCTTTACCCGGTTCCTGTATCGAGTAACGCGCTTGCCTTCTCTCCCCCCCCCCCCTCCCACCACCTTTGTGGCGCTTCTTTTGCCGAAACAAATTCAAAAAGGGGAAGGAAATTTCTGGAGTGCGAGGCAGCTGCGGAAAGCCATGCAGAGCACTGTAGTACTGTGTCAGATTGCGAGTGCCTGACGGAAAGCACAGTTCGAGAACATCGAACCCTATCTTCAGTGCACTACCTAATTCGAACGTTTAGCAGTTTCGCCTCTCTTCGCCGAAGCCGAAATCGACGCTCCTCATCTACGGAGTCCGCAAGTCTTCGACAGTCAACTGAGGTCCAGAATGGTCTTCAACCAACAAGTAATTACGTCTGTTGATGAAAACAACATTGAAAAGTTTTTAGGTACGAGTTTCAATGGGGGAGCCGTACACCCCGTCAAAAAGTCCTTCGAAGGAGCACACGGAGCAAGAATTCACATTTGAAAAGAAAATGGAGGCTATACATGAAGACTCACACTCGCACTGACTCCAAATTTAGTGGAATTTGTTGAGATAGGTAAGGAGAGAGTATGATGAGGGTTTCTAAGCATCTCATTTTGTGTGTATTCCGTACTATATAATTATAATATCCGGCACTAAAGAACTACACTTAAGCTTGGTCCATTGCAGAAGTAGTATTCTGTATCACATGTCGTCTTCTTATTTTTAAATCCGGCTCTAATGCACTGAGGTCGAAATGCCCTCTACTGCATCACTTGAAAATCAGTGTTGCATTTTATCTCAGGCTTTCTTCTTTCAGCTTGTTCTGTAGCTATCCTTCTGAAGTTATCAATAAATATTGACTGGAAAGGTGCAATGGTCGGTCTCAAATGGTTGCCCATTGCTCATTCTTCTTCATTTATCAAGTTTACAAGTTCTTCCCGGGGTATCGCTTTGGATGCTGAATGAACTTCCTGCTGTTACCGTAGATTTTGTACCTCCAGCGGTTTTGTGAGGCAAGGCTGTAGCTCCGAAACACTCCGCAAAATCCGACATCCTTTTGTTTGGCTTTGCAAAAACGGGTAAGTCTAGAGACAAAGAGAGATTGTCAGCTAGATTGATAGGGAGACGGTCCTTCTGAAATCAGGGCCCGCCACGCTAATCTCGAAAGTAGAGCGGGGGCGCCTGCGCTGCTCCGTTGCGGAGAATCTTCTCTAAGACGCTTTATTTTCGAAAGTCTTCAGTGCTCACCACAGCGCGCTCTACATAGTAATGTGCAGGGCTCCTAAACTGCAGAGTCGTTTGCACCAGCGGTCGCGCGACCGCGTCGCGCCCGGGCATTTTGCCGGCGCCGGCGCCATCGATCGAGGCGGCGTCATTGATGCCAGGGCGCGACGCGGTCGCGCGACCGCTGGTGCAAACGATTCTGCAATTTAGGAGCCCTGTACCTCCCAGCCGCCCCAAGTCTAACAGCTGCATTCACTGTATCTTCCGGGAGACAGTCGAATGGCGCGAATTGATTGATAGTCACTAGCTGGAAAAAGCAAGAAAAAAGGTCAAAATTAGTTTGCTACTTCTGAGTTCCACATAGTAATCCTCCGTTACGCTTTCTGATATAATGACAAAAATTTCGGAGTCTGGAAACCTCGCTTTTGTAGAGTACAATTCTCTTCTGGCAATGATCACAGCCGAAACGCGCGCCTTTCGATATACACCCGTATCTTCCGAGCTCATTAATCAAGGCTGTTGCTAGAAACTATATTAGATCTTACCGGTCATTTTTGAGTCTTTTCATTCACTATGATCATCTGCTTCATGCAAGATCACTCTTCAACGTTGTTGAACTGCATGATGCTTCCTGAGGAAACATGTGACCGTGGATTCACTCTTCAAAATAGGCGAAATCTTATATATAAAGCTTGATATCTGTATGTCTGGCTGTATGTCTGTATGTACGTAAGCTCCGAATGGAAATTTTTATTTCCAAACCGATCTGGACCAAAATGGCACACATACATTTCCGGGAGGGGGGGGGGGGGAACGGGTGTCATAGCCTACTTTTCGTCATCGATCGATATCGATTTTATCGATTTTTATCGATTTCCTGCAAGGTTGGAGCTACGAGGCTAGGAGTTGGCATAGAGGGGTATCTGTGCATGCTAACTACGAATAGATATTAGTTTACAAAAGTACCCGTTACTTTCACCGTTTTTATCGATTTTTTTTGCAAAGTTTAAGCTAAGCGGCTGGCAGTTGGCACGGGGGGGGGGTAATCGAGCATGCTGATTACGAATATAATATTAGTTCTCAAATTGTCCGTTACTTTTATCGATTTTATCATTTTTTGCAAAGTTTGAGCTACGGGGCTGGGAGTTGGCACAGGGGGGAAGTGAGCATGCGATTACTAACACAGCGAGAATAGGGAATTGGCATGTAGAAGTGGGCACAGGGAAAGGTTGTACGGGGATAAGGACAGGCTTTATCATAGTGTTTTGACAGGGCCGGGCGGAGCCGGGTAAACCAGCTAGTAGTTTTCTGTGGAGCTCTACATGAATGATAATTTTGGCATGTTTTGTTTTTCACAGTTTACGCTCACGTATCAACGCTAACCAGAGCTTTTATCAGTACGTGATTTTTTACGCAACTACTGCTCAGTTTTCAAGAACAAAAATCTTTTCACTAAGATCTGCACGCTACTTTCAGGCCCCCGCCAGAGTGCCAAAGCCACGCCAGCGCTACGCCGGCGCCAAGCCAGTGCTTCCTCAGACAACTGGCCGGAACTTCCGCAGCGCTTTCGCAGGGTTTCCGCAGGTGACCCGGCGGAAATCCTGCGAAAGCGCTGCGGAAACCCTGCAATCTAAGGTGCAGGGTTTCCGCAGCACTTTGCGCTTTTAATTCGCGGTTTCTTCCATATCAAATTCCTTTTTGATACTAGGTTTTCCTTTCCAATACTGGGTTTTCGCTTTTTACTAAGGCATCATTCCTTTGATGTGGAAATTCCTCCAGACTTTCTAGATGCTAAAAGACGTAGACAGCGAGATAGTTGTAATAGAAAAGAGAGAGATGCAGAGAGAAAGCAGAGAGAAAGCAAATGGCCCTGTGTATTGTTTTATGCAGGTACCATATAGAATCACAATAGGCCGAAGCTGATAATTGCAAATTAACAGAATTATCAGTGAAGTGTTCATAAATAAGTATACATAAAATCACATAAGCATTTGAGTATCTATGACTTAATAATAACGGGCTAAGGGTTGTTTACGTCTGTTTGTCTGTGTGTCTGTGTGTACGTCTGTCTGTCACGAAATTCGTAGAGCGAGTTCCAGTCAACCTTCTGAGCCCAAATTTTGCACAGCGGATGCTGCCAACATGAGAGTCCAATATACAAGTGCACGAGCGGATACCTTGAGTGGATCCCTCGAAAAATGCGCGTGAATCGGATCCACTTGGCTTTTGGCCAGTAAAATTGAGCCTGTAGCACAACTTTTTGTAAAGCCATTTGTAAAGCCACTGATATGTTTGACAAGTTAATGTGCAAGCCATGGATTTGAGCCTAAATAAGTGAACTGAAATTTATTACTTCGCGAAAACGGCTTCAAAAAGAATAGATTACGTGAATGGTTATTTTTCTAGGATTTCCCCCGATCATTTGAGAGGATTTTTGCACAGCGTTGTAGCCCACGGTGATTTTTGTACCTTATGGTGAACATCAAGCCATAAGAAGTCCAAAAACCAAATCAAATTTTCATTTGTTCTTCTGGGAAAAGTTTTATCCACGCGAAATTACCGACCTCATATGGAAAAGCGTTTGAAATGAGTGATTGTTTACAAATCATTCGTGATAGCCTGCATAGCGCGGTGAGTTTCACTGTCATTATTATGTGGGAATGAGTAAGGCATACAGAAAGAACGGCCAGTGCGGGCCTCTGCGAAGCAGAGGTGACGCACTGGTATATGTATAAGTGAATAAGGTTGGAAAAAATCGGCAAATATTAGGAATTAAAAAGCAATGCTATACCGATGGAAGAGTAAAGAATAATGGAAGAATAAGATAAAAACAAGAACAACAGTCTCATTCACAAAGGATAAGGATATGCGCTTCAAAGGGAAGATGGTCCTGTGGGGAAATAAACCGTTTCCACTTATTGTCATTTTGATCTTGTCCGCGCGACTGAAGCCGGCTTCGTACTCCCTCTCTGTAATGAAAATTAATTGAAATTTTTTTGATGTAAATCGCGCCTTGCCGCAAGTGTTCCATTTTACAACTTCTTCGCCAACAAATACGGAATTTGGACGATTTATTTAAAATTTTTGGAAATTTCGAAATATCAACAAGAGAAGCTCTAAGACAGATTTAAAAACTACAAGAGTTTTCTGCCGAAAGTCAAGGCTTTACTTCGACTTGAAATTTACTGGAATTTTCAAATTTGGAGCAACAGAACTTTTGTTCATTCTAATATTCCAACATTTTCTACACTAAACAATAGGCAGGTATGAGTAAGTGAAAGTTACTATAAATTATTGTTGAATATTCATAAATTAATACTTAGAAAATAATACTAATGAACCAAAAGCTCGTCCCCATCCTTTTCAAAAATTCGAAGCTTTCTTCCTTTACATCCGATCTGCACATTCTAATTTTGAAAGAAGACATGCTCTTTCTAATGGTACCTGAGGCACTTTTTGATAGCTCCGGAGATCGAAGTCGGTGAAGGCAACTACTCCATTTTAATATTCCCATGTTTGGTCGCAAAAATCTGCTTGCAGAAAATCGGAGCAATCGGTATCAAAGCAATTATTACCTACTCTTTTTGAGTGTACAAAGATTGCGCTGATTGAAGGTCTCTTAAAAAGTTATGGTTTTGAGGAAGCCGTAAAAAAGAGTAAATATGATTTTTTGGCATTTGCTTCGAAAATCATAACTTTTCATAAAGAGATTCAATCAGCGCAAACTTGGCACAGTGAGAAAGAGCAGGCTATAAAACCTATAATCAGGGTTGAGCGAGAGGTTAGGCGCAATTCCTTCAAAAACGACCCCCCCCCCCTGTGAAAGCCCCTAAAATGGACCCCTCCGCTTCATCTCCAGAACCTTAGACTGATTTTGAAGAAGACCAGCCTTTACTGAAGGGTTCTTGTTTTTTGGCCGTAGGCCCAACTTTCTGCGATTGCACAACCACACGTAAATTGACGGCAAGCTTTGAACTTGGATACCTCTTTTAAGAGTTATAGTTTTTGCAGGGATGGAGTGTTTGGCTCCAAATTTTCAATATAGCAAGAAGAGGCTTTGCGCACAATACTCATATTAAAAAAGGAGCGATTTTTGAATACTGAAGGCAAGTTAAGGGGGTCAAGCGCAACCCCTCAGAAGCTCAGGCGGCCTGACCTTGTTGAGGGGTTGCTCCTGACCCCATTAACTTTATTTTCGAAGAAGCTTTTCTATCCAAGTTTTATGTGATTCGCTAGCACAACTCTCGAGGATTCCACAATAAGTGTTTGAGCTTGTTTCGACTTGTTTCGGCCTTGTAGTAATCCGTAGAGCTAAAACACTCAATGTGAAGAACGCGCCGGTTCGAAATTTGGCAGCACTTCTTACTTCACTATTTGAAAGCGATATGAAGCCTGATTTCTAGCATAGACTTGTAGGGAACGTTACTTTGTTATGAGTATAAAAAAGCTGACTATTTCCACTTTTAAAGCCAAGTTAATCACGTTTGAAACCACGCCTTCTAGACATTGCGAAACACTAGAAAATGCGGTAGGTAACCACTTTAGAGCACATAGAGGTAATCTGACATGCTGA